GAGGGCAGAGGGTGAATGGGAAAGACTTGGGGAGGGGATCCTCGAGGGCAGAGGGTGAATGGTGGGAGGACCAGGGGAGGGGATCCTGGAGGGCAGAGGGTGAGTGGTGGGAAGACCAGGGGAGGGGATCCTGGAGGGCAGTCGGTGTATGGTGGAAGGACTTGGGAAGGGATCCTGGAAGGAACATCTAGCCACCCTATGATAAAGAAAGGTATCAAGAAATTCAGGTTTTTTTCAACAACTGGGATGCGAATCGTTTCCAACCAAGGGAGAGAGGTCTAGCCCGCTCTCCTAAGCGCTCCTGGGAGAAAATATCCATCAAGTGATGGCCAACAAGGGCCAACAGGGGAAAAGCACTGGTGGAAAGGAGGAGACTCGCTTTCGAAAGCCCTCCTCGCTCCAACGCGCAGGTGCATTAAGTTGAACTTTTAAGTTCACGCAGAAAGAGCTCTGGGTGGTAGCTACTATGACGGGAGATTGTTTTTTAATTTTATTGCATTGATTTTATATTATGGGGTATTTTGAAACGTGGTCCTGAGGCCGTGGGGAGAGGCAGCGGGTGACGCCGGCGCGCAGCGATAGCGCGCCGAGCGCGGGAACCGAGCCGGGCGCGGGACAAGAGGTGCCGACCGAGCGACGGCCGGAAGCCGGCAGCCTCTCCAGGTGACGCGCGCCCCCGTGGGCGGACCCACCAGCCGGGCGACCCGTGGATTGGTCGCGGCCAGCGCACCCTCTGACCTCACGCCGACGCGGGCTGTACCCTCCTCCCACCTCCTAATCTCCCCCTCCCCCAAGCGCCCGCCGGCCGGCTCCCACCCTGCCCGCCAATCGGGTGCTCCTCAGGGCCTGGGCCGGAGCCCGCCCGCCCGCACCCGCGGCTCCGGCCCCTCACCATTTCCGCACTTTTTCGATGGCTGCCATCACCTTCTTGATGTCGTCCTTGGCCCGGCTGCGGGTCTCGGCCCGGACCGACCGGCCCGACATGACGGCTGCGGGAGAGGCGGGGGGCCGGGGCACTGCTCCCAAAACACGGGAATCGCGCGCCGCCGCCCGCCGCAGCAGCGTCACCGCCGCCGTCGTCCCTTCCCGTGCGCGCGTGCGCGAGGAACCCCCGCGCGCCCTCCCGCCTCTTGGGACGCGAGACCTCAGCGCGCTTGCGCGCCCGCCGCGGGCATCCCTCCCAGGGCGCCCCGGGAGTCCCGAGGACAAGCCATGGTGGCGGCCAGCGGGGGGCACGTGCTGTGGGCTGGGCGAGGTGCGAAGCCCCGACGGCTCTTCGAGAGGGTCAAGGGTTGGCGGCTTGCTGAGTCGCTGCTAAGCCATATAGCCTCTGCATTTGACCCCAAAAGACAGTTTCTACACCCTTCTCTTGCCCTTTCCTGTCATTGCCCTGTCTCCCTCCATACATCACAGAATATCACTCCCCTTTCTGCTGGCCCTTGCACACATCTGATGCCCACCTGGAGTTAATTAACTAATACTGCCAAGGTTCAGTTGGGACGCCGATATCTATCTCTATTTCATTGGGTCCCCCATTGTTCTTTAGGGTTGCCGAGTCTCAGGATCAATCGGACACGTTAAACATCCAAACTTGTACCACTTGTCTCATTTCATACAGCAGTTGGCTAATTGATACTTTTTGCAAAGTTCTTTACGTAGTTCTTACACATCAAGAACTTCTAGATTACTAGGACCTACAGAAAAGAGGCATTTAAAATGTCATTTGATGTCTGCTATCCTATAGGATGCTATGTTGTTGTTGGTTGGTTGGTTTGGGTTTTTTTTTTATGCAATGTTTTTTGAGTTCTGTCAAGATGGAACCGATAGTAGCTGCAGCTGACCCTCCAGCGGGTTTTCTGAAGCAGTTAATCACATGAGAGGTGACTGCCCATTCTTTTCCCACCGAGCAGATGGCGAATTTGAGCCTCATTCCTTTGGACTGCAGCACAGTTTCTTACCACTAGGCCACCAGAGCTGCTAGTGAGTGGAGCTAGGGCGCTATAACTGATCTTGTTGCACTGATTGTCGCAGGTACCTGAACAAAAGCCTGGTATTTGGTAAGTACCCTAGAGAGGGTGAAACCAAGCTGCTCCTTGGAGGCAAGGAGTTTGAAGCTCCATCTCATATACTCTGGGCACATGGCCAGGAGGGACCAGCACTTGGAGAAGGACATCATGCTTAGAAGGGTGGACGGACAGTGCAGGAGAGGAAGATGCTGGAGGAGATGATTGACTCAGTGACTGGCGTAATGGAATTAGGTGTGTTGGAGACGATGAGATTGGCTCAAGATAGGGCAGGGTTCAGAGCTATTGTACATAGGGTTGCTATGAGCCCTGGGCAACTCAATGGCACAAAACAGCAACACGGATATTTGCTACTGAATGAGTAAATAACTGACCTCAATGCCTCCCCCTTCCATGAAGCCTTTAGCATTCACTCCATTCATACAGCAGCCTCCCTCCCATGAACTCCCACCAGACTCTGAGCATATTCTATATCATACTCAGAATTCCAAGAGGCAAGGGTGTCTGCGGCAGGCAGACACCATCTAAACCACCCTGAGCACTGCGACACTGGTGTCTCCGTAACAACCCCATGATTTATTTCTGCTTCGCCACAGCTGTTTATTGTCTGTCACTCCCTGCAAATGTAAGCTTTAGGAGCACAGGAACCCCACTGTCGTGGTCACTACTGCATCCCCAATTCTAAGTACAGAATTTAGCTCAGAAAACCAAAGTGTGACGGTCCCACTGCTATCAAGTTTATTCAACCTTACGTTGTTTTCATGTGTTACAGCGTAGAATTGAGCTACGTACCATTTTCTCAGCTACAATCAACAAGTCTCTTGTCTTTTTTTTTTTTTTTCAGCAGCACCACTGGGCTGTTCAACCATCAAACCTTCAGGTTATTAGTGGAGCCAAAGCCAATTGTACCACCTAGTGGTCTAGCTGGAGCAGGGAAATAAACCCCAACCCAATCCCATTGCTGCTGAGTCAATTCTGACTCACTGTCCCTCCACGTGTTAGTGAGAATGTTGCCACAGTTTTCTTGACTTTAATCTTTACAGAAGAGAGCCCTCAGGTCTTTCCTCCTGGGGTTTAAACTGTTAACCTGGAGGTTAGTACTTGAGCACAATTCATGTCAGAGGTAAGGTGCTCTGGTGGTGTCCTCTGTACAGGTGACCAATTTATTGTCAGAGTTGCTGAATGAATAAATGGTTTTGTTACCAGGAAAAATATGGCTGCCTTGCCACCAAAAACTGATCAATCTTGGAGACAGGGGTTGGTGTAGAAAAAGCAGAAAAGTTTATTATAGAAGACAGAGTCTGTGTGCTTCCCAAATCTGCCTTGTGGATGGCAGGGGCTTATTTATATGGGTAAGACACAGGGCAATGGACGTGTGAGAACTTCCTCAGTATCTTCTCTCTCCATGTTTGGGTCTGGTGATAGTATCTCCTGTTGTCCAGGTGTCTATACCTGGTGATAATTCCAGGTGATTCAGCTCAGCCTCGTCAAAGTCTCAGAGACAGTGTCGTGTCATCCTATGTGCTATGATCAAAAAGGAGTAATCCTCAGGTACAGACTGCACGCATGAAGGGAGTACTTCTCAGCTGTGGATTGTAGGGTGGACAGAGAAACATCAGCAGAGTTCTAGTCAAGGAGTAACTCGCAGCCATATTCAGGGTGGAAGGGTAAACGATCAGATAGGAGATTAGCTGAGAAGGAAACTTGTTAATTTCTTCTGCCAGGCTAAAAGGGGGGGAATATCTTCCTTTCAAAATATTAGTTTTTACTTTGCTGAAGAGACTGTGAAAAATTAGTATCTGTTAGTTGAGAGCCTGGTGTTTTATTACGAGCCTTGGTGACCTAGTAGGTAGAGAATGGAACTAACCCAAATGTGGCCCCGAGATTGTATCATTTACCTTCTCGCTGCAGTTTACTGCCTTTGAGAAACCGCTGGAGGGTCAGCGATCAGTTCCAACTCAATGGCAATGAGGAAAAAGGAAGTCTTTTATTACTTTATTGCATGTTGCAGTTTACCCATGGGGTTATTTCTTGTGTTCTGTCCAAGTTACCTTCAAATCCTGACAGTTTCACTTCTCTGCAGTACCCAAAGCCTTCTCCCCATCAACACACGCCCAAGGCCCCACCACACTTTTGAGAATCATGCTTCTTCAAGATCCTTTTTATAGTTGCCCAGGTTCAAACTCAAACCCTATCATTACAATTCACATGGGGTCTAAAAATATGACCCAAAACACAAGGAAAATTCCAGGAGACAGAAATGCTGAGCATTTCAGTTTAGTCACTTTACATATGTGCCTTTTGCTTTACACATTTCATTGAACCACCACTTGTCTAGGTTCTTCCTGTGAAAAAGAGTCCAACACTAAGGTTCAGTCCTTGGTCCTTTACATGAAGATCTGGAGAGACAGTTTAGCAAAGTGCCTCTCAGGCAGTCTTGGCTTCCAGTGCCACCATGCCCCTCTGTACTCAGTTGAACAAGACATGTTCTTTGAACACATCTTCTTGCTTGTTTCTACCTCTGGGTCATTTCTCATATTTTCCTTCTTTGTGGATGCCCTTTCTCTCCTTTTGAAACACTCATCTTTCAGTGCTCTGTGTCTTTAATGACAACACCAAAGGCATGTCATCTCAACGTTAGTTCCCCACAGCATTTAGCTCATCTATTATCCATTACCACCCAAAAGCTGCAACTCACACAAGCCTCTTGGATGAAGGACAGGCCTGAGAAGCCTGGTGATTCCCAGAATTCTAGTCTAGAGCCAAGTGTTCAACTCCAGTTCCTATTGGAACCTGTCTGAAGAGAAGCAGGAGTGTCTAACATGCTGAAGTTCCTCTCATGGGCTGAGGAGCGAGACAAGAGGATAAGGACCACTGTTTTCCTCTCTTTGGAAAAAGAGACATGTGACATGTTGTGAAGTCTACCCAGGCTGTCTTTAAGCAGCAGTGGTGGAAGTCTAGAGTTCACTGAAATGTATAGGCTGAAATGGAAATGATTTGTAGGCTTCCAAACTTTCACAGGTGGTGGCTCCTTGGTGCACTGTTAACAAGTGCCAGGAAGAAGTAAGAGTACTGTCTCTGAGGACACAGCCAGAAGGTGAGCTGTCCCGTCAGCTCTCATGGAACCACACCTGATCTTGTGCCTTCTCAGGATCCCTGCTATGCTTATGTCCATTGGTGGCAGTCACCCATCCTAGTCAGATCTTCCTCTATTTTGGGAACCCTCTACTTTTTCAAGCAAGATGTCCTGCTCCAGGAACTGGCACCTCCTGGTCATGTGCCCAACTTTAATGACAAGGATAAAGTAAAGCTGTAAGTCAGTGAAAAACTTTCATTTGTTGGTGTGGCACTACTCAACATAAGGAAGCACCAGCAAATATCCTTTAGAACTGGAACACGGGACGGAAGTGTACATCCAGGAGAACGGGAAGTTGTCAAAAATGAAACGGCCCAACAGAGAGATCTTAGGCATTATTGTTAGGTGCTGTCAAGCTCAACACAGCGACTCTACGAACAGATCTGAACCCTGTCCTACCCTGTGCCACCCTCACAATCTCCAATACCCTCAAGCCCACTGCTACACTGTCAATCCACCTGGTTGAGGGTCTTCCTCTCCTTCACCGTGCACCCACCTTCCCAAGCATAATGTCCTTCTCCAATAACCTCTCCTAGCAACATGCCCAAAGTATGTGAGATGAAGCTTCCATCTGTGCCCCCAAGGCTTTACTGGTGAGCTGAAATGAACTGGTATTGGCAATGGGAATCAGACAATCACATGGTCTACTATGTGAGAAATGACAAATTGAAATGGTATAAAATTCATGATAAAAAGAGTATTTTAAGACTATCTTAAGCACAATGCTGTCAGTGATAATATGGCATTCATACACACACGAGCTATTAACATGACTATCACTCAATTTGTGCACCAATCCCTGAAACCAAAGATTGCCTGCCCTCAAGAGCTATCTGCCAAAACCAAACTGTGCTCACCAAAAAACTCTTATCTGGAATTTTGTGAAGTACAGGAATCCCAACAATATTCAAGTTTCTAGATATACGATCAGTTTTAGCCAATAGTGTGTCTACCCAACAGTGCATGAAGTAACCCACCACCAAGAATTAACTTTTATGTGCTGGCTCCTTACTTCCTAGTCTCCAATTACCGAATTTTTGAAATAAGCATTTTTTTTTTTTTATTTTTGTGTGAGTGGACCGTCAAATCAGATCTGACTGGTACAGGAGGAGATTGTCCCTCCTTTCCCGGCAGAGCATCTGGTGGATTCAAACCGGGCACCTTCCTGATTGCAGAGTTCCTTTCAATATGCTTTTAATGGTGCACTTACACTTTGTTTTTGATGACTGATAAAAATAGGATACATAACACCATTTTTAATAGTTGAACAATTTTTATTTTGAGAAACTGCAACTTAGAGAAGTTGAAATAGTAGTATTAGAATATGCTGCCTTCACACACAAGGAGTTTTGGATGCAAAAAAGCTACTAGACCTCTAATATCCAGGCACCTTCTTGATGGTTACAAGAGAAATGACCTCATTTTCAGTGAGTTTTCGTTCTTCAGGAGCCCCAGAATGACTTTTTTTAATGCTTTCACTTATATTTTAAACTCCCTAGCAGCCCTGCACGGCAGGCAACAGAAAACAAATGCACAAGGTTGCACGACCGAGCCGCTCATTGTTTCTAGTCATTAAGTGGCTCAGCTGAAAGTGGAACCTAAGACTTCTGACTGCAGCTACTCACCCTTGTGCAGTCACTTCTCTTGCTGGATAAGCAGAGACAGCATGTTAGAAGTTCTCAGACAGACACACATCAAGTGTTTCTGTCTCACTGTTCAGGGAGCAAGTATTCACCAGGCCCCATTATGGCATAATCAGTCAGAAATTCTATAGAACATAAAACTACAGATGTTATAGGGAGAGGACGGCCACATACACATAGGATTAGTGACATTTCTGACAACTGTGTCTGGCTGAAATTCAGCGTTTAGCGTTTGCCCCTTTCCATGAACTGTGCTTGGTGGAGAGCAAAGGTGACAGACATGGATTGTTCCGTGTGGCGCTCACGTTCTAGTGGATTTATTAACAACTACTAGGAGACTGAGCTGCATCTGGCCCACACTAGTGTTTTGTTTGGCCCAAAGTGTGCCAAATTAAAAAGGAAAAAAAATAAAGCTGCCAACTTCTAGCTTTTCTGAAACAGGCAACTTTGATTGGATTCGTAAGTAGCTGCCAACTCATCTCTGTCCTATATCCAGACCTCATGACCTCAAGGACAGTTCAAATTTCTGTTTGCTATTGTCTTATACTCAGATAACTGGTCTAATTCATGCATTTATGTCACCCAGCTGGCCTCCGTGACTTCAAGTGGAACTCCTTAAGGAGACAAATACTCAAGTATCTCACTGCCGCCAAGTCAGAACTCATTGTTGATCCTATGTCAGGTTTCCAAGGTTCTAAAGCGCATAGGCGCTGCTGGTGGGGTCGAACTGGCAGACAGGTTGGTTGGCTTTTGGGTTAGTAATGCAACTCCCTATGGACTATGACGTTAGAGCTCCCTCGAAATAAGACAGCACTATGTATGTAATGCAAAATAAATATGCTAATGTGATGGATGTAATATAACAGGTAGTGAGGACTTCGGAATGGGTGGTCAGAGGTCCCTCTGAAGTTTTAAATTGAACACTTAATCATGACAAGCATAAGGCTATCAAAGAAGGACAATGTGTTTAAGCAGAAGGAACAAAAAGGCCAGAACCCCAGGTGAGACTGGGTAGAAGCAAAACTGTAGATTCAAGAGAAAATGTGAAGCTAAAAGGGGTCAGTGACTTACAGAAGGGGCGATACCCAGCCACCCAGCTAGGTAATCCCAATGTTACTCCGACGGTTGTGGGAAAGCTAACTCCTGCCACCCTCCTCCCAGGTGTGACTGGGGGAAAGCTAGACGTGACTGTATATAAGTAACTGACGAAATATTTTATGAAAAAAGAAAAAATTTGGAGTTTAATCAAAAGAATTTTCTAATGGAATGAATGGTAGCAAGGGAGGGTAGAGGGAATAATCAAGGTTGACATAGTGACCCTCACTGTAAGTTGGAATTGACAGCAGTTCAAGGTTTTTGCTTATTCAAATATTTAGTGTTTGGGAAGATTAATTTTAGAAGACCAAAAATCTCGATTTTGGATTAATAAACTTTGCCTACACTCGATCTTCCTAAATTTCTCCTGTGCCTTACAAATTCCTTCATTCGACGCTCTCAAATCCAAATCTCAAAATACTAATCTCATATCCTAGTGTGTTAGGAAGTGTGAGGATGGCACAGGATAGGACAGTGTTCAGATCTGCTATTCATAAGGTCACTATGGGTCATACTCAACTTGAGGCACCTAACAACAATCTCTTAGAAATCTATCCCATGAACGTCATACCCACTGTCCTGTCCTGATTCAATCCTCTCTTGCTTTGACTCTTGTAAAGTCTTCAATAGTTATGAACTAAACAAGGAGCTCTGGTGGCTGAGTGGGTAAAGTGTTGTACTGTCAACTCAAAGGGAAAGTGGTTCAAATTCACCAGATACTCCAAGGAAGAAAGATGGGTCATTTCTTCCAGTGTGATCTGCAGCCTTGGAAAACCTGCTGAAGGGTTAGTTCTGATTCAATGGCACAAAACAATTAACAAATAGCACTTATTAGATAAGATTGTATCCTCATGTTTCACACAAGTTATCTTTAATGCCTGACTCGGTGTCAGGCACAGAGTAGGCATTTATTTATTTGATCAACTGCAAAGTGGTCTCTTCAAGCAGGATACAGCTTTCCGGAGGAGAGAAGTCCCATGCCAGGATTGTAGGATTTTGCCACACAAATTAAAGCAAGGATATGGTTTTTTTCCTAATGTGGTTTTAAACTAACTGCTTGATTCTCATTTTAACCAGGCAGCTAATAAATCATACCTGATGTTACCATTCTTTTCCATCTTTCAAATTGAAGTTATTTGTCCCTTGACATTCTTGCAATGCCCTGACAACAGAGGAAAATTACTGTCTAATAGAAGAAAATTACTGGCCATTTCACAAATAAGAAAACTGAGGCACAAAATAAAATCTCTTAAATTTTTTTTTTCATTAGGTGAGAAGCCTTGGCTAAACTGAAACCAGGCTTTCCTTAAACCCATATGAGGTTTTGTAACTGAAAAGAACCCACTCTCCCAACCCTAGAAAACTGCTGGTTAATACTCAAGGGTTTCCTCGGTTGTCTCTCCACCGTCGTTTATTTCTTCTGGGACCAGGATGGTTGCTATAAGGTAAAAGCCTGGGCTTTCTCTATATATCGTACTTAACGCTCTCCTTGGTACCTGGTGAAGACAGAGTCCTCTGCTTGGGACCAAGAGAAAGAGCTTGGTCATCAGCCTAGGAGGTCAAGGCCTGGAGTGAAACCAGTAAGAAGAGAGATGTAAGTAGGCAACAACAGTTTCAATGGAAAAAAACAATCAAAAAAATAAAAATACTCCTTTTTCAGAACATTTCCAGCAAACAGTGCTAGGGGGAAAGGTGCCGTCAGCAGCAGGAGGTGAGATCTCTCCTCCCAGAGTCATTTCTTCAGGACCCCCAGGCTCTTCAGGGCCTCCTGGGCCTGTGTCAGCTGCTGCTGCAGCCTCTGGCGGGTGCTCTCATTAGAGGCGCGCTTCAGGAGGCCCTGCATTTCCTCCACCACTGCCCGGTGGCCAGGCGCATTGTGGAAGAGCCGCACTGCCCGGTCCCCACAAGAAGCCAGAAACCGGCCAGTGATGTCAAAGGACAAGTCAGTGATACATTCCGCGTGGACCTGCTCAAAGGATTCTTCCTTCTCACCCCGCCGGGTATTGTAGAGATGAATATTACTGCCACTGGCCAAGGCCAAGACCTGGGCGTCAGGGGAGAGCGCCAGACGGCACACCATACGACTCGCTTCTTCGTAGCGGCCTGTTCTCAGCAAATACGGATCTTGCTGCTTCTTGTATTCCACATCCGTGTCCCACAGTTTCCACGTACCATCCTTGGAGACAGATGCCATCCTGCAGGATGGAAAAGCACAGCTCTAACCCCAAACACATCTTGGCAAGAGGGAGGGAGAGGCACTGGACATGTCAGGAGTTCAGTTAAGAAGGCCATTGCTACGTCTTTTTGTGGAGGGCCAAGCATCCCACCCACTTCAGAGCTGTGGCATGCGACAGGCAGAAGACCTTGGTTATCCAGAAGAAACACTGGTAAAAAAATCGGAGCTAATTCACTCACCTTCGGGAATCATTAGAGAAAGCGAAGAAGTGCACAGCTGCAGAGTGGCCCTTCAGTTCAAAGGCTCGCACGACCTCCTGGAACTCCCCATTTTTTCCAAAGCAAACTTCCCAAACTTTTACATCCGGAGTAAAGCCACAAGAAGCCACAAACCTGTCATATAATGCCAAATTCCTGTAAGGCTTAACTGGGCATCTTCCTAAAAACTGGCCTATTGCCTAAAAATGTCAATAACCTCCCACCTATCCATGTACCACTGTTACAAAAGTGCCTCTACACACCTTAGATCTAAATGTAAATGGAGGAATTGATGTCTTGTGCTGTCTCTGCCCCAACCGCAGCATCGTCCTGTGTGCCCGTCTCTGTCCCCCACCCCATTATCTTTCCATCCCAGATGCCACAGCCCCTCCTGCCTCACCTGCTACATGGTGATATGGCAGCATGTGTATTGTTCATTTGGTTGGTGTTGATGGTAGACAGCACGCGACCTTTCAGATTCCAGATGAGGATGGTTGTATCATTGGAGGCTGTCATGATGAACTTCCCTGGAGGAGGAAGGTGAAACAGGTGTGATTGGAAGATGTGACAGTAATGGCACAAGTGAGGGTCACTCTCCAAGATTTTTATGTGGGTCTCTGATGTCCAGAGGAAAAGAAAGCCAGCGCCTGTGTCACACTGTAACTCAGAGTGCACTGAGTCTGCTCCCTCAAGCCGACTTAACTGGGGCCATTCCCTCTTCTGCCCGGAAGCTCCACCCTGACTGCTTCTCACCTCACCTGTGTCGGCAATGCCAATGCTGATGACGGGTGCTTTGTGCTTTTTGGGAAAGTCCGCTGGGGTGGCTGTGAAGGTGTAGCCCCCATCCTCTCGCTTGGTAATCTTGAAGACACGGAGAGTGTCTCCACTGGCCAACCAGACAATGAAGGCTCTAGAGACAGGTAGCAGACAAGTCGCTCACGTATCTGCATGCAGAGAACTACGTGTGCCGTATATGACACTAAGCTCTGGGAAAATCAACATCTCCCTTCATGCCATTCAGCTCAGCCACACAACTTAGCCACTTCATGCTCTTCAAAACCTTCAGCAGACAGACATTCCAGAGCTCTGGCTCTTCCTATGTTTAGGAAGCTATTACAGCTTCCAAGAATTATGTGGAAGCCAGGCTTTGGCATTTCCTTGCTATATGGCTGCACAGTCCTACAGGGAACCCGAGGTAGTGCTTAAGCCAGCTGGATGCTTTCTTTCTGCCACACTACGGGGGATGCCGGGCTCACGCTCATGACCCCCAGCCAGGATTGGGAAGGACAGAAGCCTGAGGCTGGGCTTCTGCAGGCAAACCTGAGGCCCCATCCTCTCCCACCTGCAGTCAGGGCTGAAGCGCACCAGGGTGGCATGGTCCAGCTCCACATTGGCTCGCATGCTGCGGTGCTCACGCTGTAGGAAGTCCTTGGTGCTCCAGATGCGGACGGTCCGATCATCTGCACAGGTGGCCAGGTACTTGCCGTTGCTGCTAAAGTCCATGCAAGATATGCTCCCGCTGTGGCTCTAGGAGAAGGGACACAGACATGTGCATGGCCACCTCTCAGGCAGACAACCTTCGGAGGTGACGCGGAGGAACTGTCTAATGCTGAGATTAACAGCAAGCTGAGGACAGGACAGGAGAAGGGAGAGGCTGGAGCGTCCCTACTGACTCTGACCACAGAGCTACAGAGCACTAAAAAACAGAAGTCGGTGGTGTTTGTGTTTGTGCACAAGCACCCGCCTACCTTCAGTGCCGCAGCCAGGAGGCGGTGGGTGAAATTGTGTTGCTGAGGCTTCTCCTTGCGGATTCGCTGATGCTGTTTCTGCTTCTTGGATCCCAAGGATTTATCGGGTGGAGATCCATTTGCTTTTTGAACTATAAGGGGGGGGTGCACATCACTCATCCATTTGTTCATTCTGTAAGCATTTACTGCTCACCTATGATTTGCTGGAGACCTTGGGTAATGCCCAAGTTAAACCACTTTGTTAAATAAAATCCCACTTCCCCCTCCCCACTTTTAGTTTGTGTTGGTTTGCATACAAAATTCATACACATTGTGTAACATTCATATACACTGAGTTTCACACATTCATAAATTCATCTTGTGTCTCCAACGATCTCACTCTGTATATACTGTATTATAAAATCAATTACCATCGATCTATGCCTAAATGCTATTTCAGGACTCCTTGCTTTCATGTCCACTGCTGCTACTGACAGAAAGATCCTTTTTCCTTCTCTAACATCCTCTTAGATGCCTTTTATTATTTTATGTGTGTGTACCATCAAATTGGATCTGACTGGGACAGGAGACTGCTCCTCCTCCTCCAGCAGAGCATCTGGTGGATTCGAACCTCGATACCTCTGGGATTGCAAACATCCTCTCAGATTCTTAAACGTACAAGCCTCTATCTCTGGGTTCCTGGCTCAGTGGAGAATCCCTGGCATCCCCTCCCACCCCCACCCCCCTTTTCCTTCACTAGAAGGGCTGGTCTGTCCCTCCCTGAGTTTCCAACACGACCCTCTCCTGCAACTTCTCACGCTCGATTTCCACGTATATCTTTAGTTGTCTCCCTTGCCCCAAGCTGGGCTCCTTAATGGAAATGGTTCTACCACGTGTGCAGCTCCAAGCAGCGGCTACTCAACAAGGCTGCGGCTTGCAGTGAAACCTCCAGAACGTCCCGCTTCTCCTCTTATTTATCTTCATAAACTAATGACCACGTAGCGCAACTTAACCACCGACAACGCGCTCGCACAGGAAGCCCGGGGGAGAGGCTGGAGTTCAGGGGACGTGGCCGGAGTCCGGCCACCGAGAAGTGCCAACGCCGCCCCAAGTTCTCAAAAGTTCGGCCCACAAGGGCGCGACCATCCCGGCCAAGGCTCCAGACGCCGGGGGAAACTGAGACCCCGGAGGCCCCGGCACCCTGCGAGCCTGGAAGGTCGGTCGATCGGGCCGGGAGCGGGGTCCCCGCGAGCCGCCCCTCCCGCCCCGGCGCCACTCACCGGCGGGCTGGCCGCCCGTGTCCAGCTCCGAGCGCAGCCACCCCCGCGCCACTGCCGCCGTCGCCACCAGCGCCAGCAGCCCGAGCAGCAGCGACAGCCCCACCAGCTCTGGAACCGGCGGCAGTTCCATCTCGACAGGGTAGCAGCCAACTCAACCTCCGTAGACGCGGGCGTCTTCACGTCTCCGCGGGGGCGCGCGCGCTGACGGACGCACGGACGCGTGCGTGCACGTGAGGGAGGGGCGGGGCCACCGGGACGTCAGGGGGCGGGGCCTATGGAGGCTGTGTTGACGGGGTCTGTGGCTCTGCTTAGTGCTGTTAATAATTTACCTATAATCTCTTATTCAAAGTCTTTTTAAAGGCATCTCTGTACTGGCTTTTCCTAAGAGCCTGGGCTGCAGTTAATATTCCCCATTTGACCGATGTTGTTATGTGCCGTCGAGTCGCCGCGACCTTACGTACAACAGCCCTAAACTCTGCTCTGTCCTGTGCCAATCGCATTGTTTCTGACACTCGCATCCCAATTACCCCAGTCACTGAATCAATCCACCTCATAGAGGGTCTTACTCTCCTGTGCTGTCCCTCCACCCTCCCAAGCATGATGTCCTTCTCCAAGGACCGGTCTCACCTTACAACATGTCCAAAGTATGTTAGACGGAACCTCAGAGTCCTTGCCTCCAAGGAGCAGCCTGGTTTAACCCTCTCCGGGATGAATCAATCTGTTTTCTTGGCAGTCCATGGTACATTCAATACTCTTCCCAGCACCACAGCTCAAAGGCATTTGACCGATGGGAAAATCCTAATAGAATGAGGGCAAATTTAGTTGGACCTTTACTGTCGTCGTTGTGTGCCGGATCCAACCCATAGCTGACCGTCCAGCGGGTTTTCATAGGCAGTTAATCAAATCACACAGAGGAGATTTCCCATCCTTCTCCCGCTGAGTAGCTTGGTGGATTTGAACCTTTAGGTGCACTTTGCGATTGCAGCTCAGCTTCTTAAGCACTGAGCTCCCTTAGGTTTTCATTAGGATATTTTAACCATGAAGCAGAGGAACTGGGGAATTTCGGGAATTGGAGTATGGAGTCTCTTCAGCAAACACTTGAAAGACAGGTAGATGAGGTCATAAGAATGGTGTCAGATAAACTTGGAAACTTTGGGTAGCGGTGAATACCAGCTGAATTTCAACAAACCCACAAGAGCCTCTGCTGTTTGTTAAAGAACAAGAAGGAACAAAATTGGCGTCTCTGGATCAGTATGTGAAAATACCAGAGGGGGAGAAACCCAACAATTGGTTGTGAGGATTCAGCAGGGAGGTGCTATGTGCCTGCACTTTGGTAGTGGCACATATGGTTAAGTGATTGCTTCGTGAAAAGATGGTGGTTCAAACCCAAGTAGCGGTGCCTCAAGACCACCCAGAATCATCTCACGAGAAAGGCCTGACAATTTGCTTGTGAAAGATCACACTGTGATAATCCTTCAGAGTGCCATTTTGTGGTGTCACCATGAGTTAGTATAGACTTGAGGGCAACTTACTTTCGCAGAGCAAAAAGAAAGTCAAAAAGGGCATTTTTTTTTAATGCACTTTGTTACAGATCTGGGAGGATAGCAAGTTCCAATAAAAAAACTGCCTCTAAAAAGAGCATTTTTAACAACAGAAAACTTTTAAATATTTTCATTGTGATTTTAACAAAAGTTTACAGAAAAGTTGGATTTTCATTCATTCATTATTGCACATTTTCCTTCCTACTTCCCCAGTTCACTTAAAAAAAATCATTTCATGATTTTCTCCTTCCTCCCAACCCATCCCAGTCCACTTTGCTATGCACCTCTTATTCTGGACAGATGTCATACAAGTGATACCTAATCATATATTCCTTTTAAACAGTTTTTACCTTCATCTGTTCTAATGCCAGTGTTTATTATTAATCCCCTTTTCTTAGTTTCCTCCCACCCTCCATGTCAGTACTGTTTTGTAAACAATGGTGTTATGCAGTATTTGTCAGAAAACATTTTAAAATTTGGAAACAGGTACAGATTTACCAAAAGTTGAAAAATGTGCATAGGAAGGTCCCTTTCCCAGTTTCCCCAAGAGTAACATTTTGCATAAACCTAAATTACAAATCCACTGCCTTTGAGTCCATTTCAACTTAGAGCAAGCTTTCAGCAGGCTTCCAAGGCAGTAAATGTTCTCAAGGGGAGATTGCCCATCTTTCTCCTGCAGTGCGGCTGGTGATTCAAACTGTGATCTTGTTAGCAGTCCAACAGGATACACACACTATACCACCAAGGTTCCTTGCATAACTAAACGATCATAAATTTAAAAAAAAATCCACCCTAAAGCACCATCATGGAGTTGACTCTAACTCACAGAAACTGTGTGTTAAAGAGTAAAAACTGCTCTACAGGATTTTTTTCCCTCTCCTAGCTTTACAGAAGTAATTCACTAGACTCTGTTTTGATGGAAGTGGCTGAGTTTAGGTTTGAACTGGCAATGCTCTGGTTAGCAGGTAACTGCAAATGTCTGCTGCCACCCAGGGACCTGCATAACCATATACCAATATCTAAGCCACGTAATATGATCTAGAGTGCTTATTCAGATCTTACCACAAAAGAGAGATTTTGAAAGACTGACAGAATTTGGATGAAGCGACCCACAGGTCTGAGAGGGTGACAGGAAACCATAGGGAGCTTGGCGTGGGAATATCCCCAGAGCAGGTACGCACATGCTGGAGGAGCTTTGGAGCCCTCCAGCTCAGAGCAAGTCAAAGTATCAGAGTCAGGTATCCCATCTTTAAATGTTCCCATCCCCACTAGTGAGTGTCCCCTGGCAGCCGGGCCCTCCATCCTTTAAAATAGCCCCCTGAGGAGCGAGGTGTCTGCAGACAGACATAGCCACAAGCCTGGGTGAGGAAACAGACCCAGTCAGAGAGCAAATAGAGCAGCCTCGTTTCCTTCCCCTTTGTCTTTGGCATTGGCATTGACTCAACAGTGAGCAGTCGGGCAGGAGCCAGCAGGGGGCGATCAGGACTTCCTAGGCCTGGTCTTCCCCCAGCTGCTATTTAAAATTGCAGCTCCAGTCATTAGCCACAAACATTCCCCATCTAGAGGCAAAGTTCCTTTTCATTTATTTATTTTTTAAATTTTATTTTATTGTTTTTTGTGTGTACCATCAAATCGGATCTGACTGGTACACGAGGAGACTGCCCCTCCTTCTCCAGCAGAGCATCTGGTGGATTTGAACTGCATACTTCTGGGATTGCAGTGTAGTTTCTTGCCACTAGGCTACCAAAGCTCCCACAAAGTTCCTTTTTAAACGATATCATCCACCGAGCATTTTGGATTAGTGACACATTGATCCAGGAGCCTTGCATTTTATTTCCTTTTCTCACATCCCCATTTTACAGATTAGGAGACTGAGGCTAGAGGCAGTTACAGTCATTGACTTTCCCAAGATCACAGAGGTAGCGAGAAGCTGGGGACAAAAGCAGGTAGACCTGACTCCTATCTATTGATTCACCTACTGTTTGGAGTGGCTTAGTGGTAAGGAATTGCGCTCCCAATCCAAAGGCACATGGTTCTAATCTACCAGTGCTCTGCGGGAGAAAGATGGGCTACAGCCTTCTGTGTGATTTACTGCCTCTGAAAACCCGCTGAAGGGTCAGCTATGAGTTGATTCAGACTCAATGGTACACAACAAGAACATTGATTGGAAAGTAGGGAGCTCTGGTGGCCTACCTAGTCCCTAAAAAAAAGAAGCTGCACTGTAATCCCGAAGGCTCGTGGTTCAAATCCACCAGATGGTCTGCTGGAGGAGGGGCAACTTCATCCTGTGCCAGTCAGATCTGATTCAATGGTACACAAAAAGAAAGGGGAGGGAAAGTAGATTCAGCAACCTAAAACCATTAGGTAAATGACAACAGAAGACTGCTCATCTTTCTCCCTAAGAGGGACTGATGGACTTGAACTGCCAGAAAATCACAGCCTTCAGGTTACCAATGCAACTTTCAATAAATTATACTACAGCTCAGTCAAGGTTATGAAACGCACAGGCATAAATTAAATGGATCTTTAGAGCAGCTTTTAAGATTGATAATCTCAACTCTTAATTGGTGGTGTTTTCTTTTTTCTTTTTTCCCTTTTTTATTATTAATGATTTTTTTATAAATTTCAATGAACATCTACAGAGATTTTGGAATTCCATTCATTCACTGTTGCACTTTCCTCCCCAAACTCTAATTGTTTTTTAAAAAACACATGATTAAAATGATGCTCAGAGAGGTCAAATTACTTGTCCAGGCGATCTCTGGTGGCCTAGTGGCAGGAAACTGCACTGCAGTCCCAGAGGTGTGCAGTTCAAGTCCACCAGATGCTCTGCTGAAGAAGGAGGAACAATCTCCTCCTGTACCAGTCAGATCCAATTTGACGGTACACACATAAAAAAAAATAATTACTTGTCCAAATTCAACAAGGAAGTAAACTCAGGTTTGCTGCACACCAAGATCCATCACATTCTTCCTTCCACCTCACCACTCTTCACTTATTCTCATCCCCATCAACACATGAAAAGACAGACAACTGAAGTTTGGGGGATGCTAGACAGATCAAAAACGGGGATGTCCTTATAGCACTGAGGCAGATGAAGCACAGAGTGAGAGGAAATTTCAGGTGTAAAGTCAAGTAGAAATAAAAGATGTAAAGAGAGAAGGAAGAGGTTCCTGTGCAGAAGCGAGCATAGGTCAGTCTGTTTGGTGAGGGCAGCAGACTGGGTAGGGGAAGGATATGGTAGGAGGTGGGGCATGCAGGGAGACAGTACAGCCCCAGTGCCTCTCCCTCCTGGGGGTCCATGCCTTGCCAGGGTACAGTGGAATGATTTTACCCAGGAACCACTGAGATTCAGGGCTGGAAAGAGAAAGTTAGGGACAGGTAGCAAAGTCAGATCTCCAAGCACCCTTCCCAGACTCTCTCCAGAGGTAGCCACAGACTGTACCCACGTTCTGAGAGAGAAGGTGATGTGTCTTCAAAAACCTGACTGATTTCAACTCCACTCTTAAAATCTTACCGGCATGACTTGCCAGAAGGCAGTGCCCCGAATCCAACCTCCTCCTATCTCCATTCTCGTCCGGGTCCCAGCACCAGCACCTCTCCTGGGATGATGGTGGCCTTCTCCCTGGTCCAGGACGTCTACCCTCACCCCCCACAGTCTAGTCTCAAAACAGAGACTAAAACAAAACAACTACAAAACAAACCCACCACTCTCTCACCAAATTCTGCCCCACAGTGACCCACAGGAACAGGGTGTCACTGCCCCAAGGTTTTCCAAGCTTGTAAATCTTCATAGAAGCTGGCTGCTACGTCTTTTCCCACAGAGCAGCTGGTAGTTTTGAACCGCCAACCTGTCTATCAGCAGTCAAATGCTTAACCACTGTGTCACCGGGGCAGATCTTGTTGCATCCGGTCTTGTCCCACCTCTACCCAAACCCCAGACCTTGTTTAATCCCACCTCCTCTTCCCACTTGCTCTGTCTCAGAGCCGGACACATAAACAGTCACGGAGACACACCAGCATAAGCTTTCATTTGTTTTTTTTTTTAATTGGTCAAGAGCTCTTTATAAAACCCATCCACACACACAGCCACGCACACGCAAGACGCCTGCCCTGCTCGGTGCTCCCTGCCCTGGTGTCCAGGGGATCCCCCAGGGGAAGCCATCCTGCAGCCCCACTGGGATTTCTGCGTCTCTGGGCGGGAGCAGAGGCCTGTGTCCCACCTCGGGGGAGCAGGTGGAACAGCAGCAAAACCTCATCTTTTCTACATAAGTTCCCTGAGTGACCAGCCCGGCTGGGCCCCAAGTGTCCCAGCTGGGAAAGCCTGAAGAATCTTCTGGCTGACTCTTCTCCACCCCCATTTTACAGCCTGGAAAATAGAGGCCAAGGAAGGGAGGGAATCCATGCGGCCTGAGGTTACACAGTGTTAGTGGTGGGGCAGGGAGCAGAATTCAGCTCTCCCCTGCCCCGTGTTTCCAGGGGGTGGGACAACTGCATACTGTGCCCTGCTTGGGAGGAGGCAGCCAAGCGTGGACATGAGACGTGTCCCCAGAAGTTGTCCCTGGAACCCACACCCAGGGCCAGCAGCCCCAGGGCAGCTGAGTGAGCCACAGGCCTGGCCAGCACTATAAAGGTGTGCCCAGAGTGCCCTCTGTGACTGCCCGTGTGGCTTGCTCAGGTATGCGTTCTGGGTCTGTGAGGATACAGGTCGATGTGCTCAGCTGGCGCAGGGAGTTCAAGACAGCTGGAGAGAGGGAGAGGGAGATATTAATTCACTTTCTGGGATGAGGACCCCCAACCAGAAAGACAAAGGGAGGGGGGAAGAACTAGTTGGCAAGATTGTCAGCCCCACCCAGGACCACCAGAGGGCACGGTGGGGTAGCTTCATCCCTGGGCTGTGTTGGAAGCAGGCTGGCACGGGGGTGCGAGCAGGGTGCCCTCTGTGGGGTGGGCAGTGGCTCCCGTACTTGGCCGAAGTGCAGGCAGGGAGCAGTACTGGTCCAGCCAGGCCAGTGAGGTCTGGCGGAGGCTCTGCAGGCTGGCTGTGGACACCATCCCATTGAAGGACTCAAACAGAGGCCGGATGATGATGCTGAACTGAGCCCGGGTCAAGGAGCAGGCCTGTGGTCCAGCCAGCAGCCCCACCCGCCTCACATGACACTCCGACACCCGTCCCAGCCTGGAGGAGGGCCTGGCCCCCTCTAACCTGGCCCCCTGAGGCCTCCGGTTACAGCACTGGCGCCTCCCAAGGCTCCTCTGGCTCCCAGCCTCCCTTCTGGGTCCTCCATGGCCCTTTGTGCTGGACGGTCCTACCCCTGGGATCCATGCTGGGCTCAGGCAAGAGCTGGACCCCAGAGCCAGGGCAAAGGGGCAAGGCCCCCTCTTTTCCACCCAAAGTCTCTTAACACATTGCCATCGAGTTGGAACTGACTTGGAGACGACCCTCCAGAGGGTTTTCAGAGGCTGTCAACCGCATGGAAGGACACTGCCCATCTTTCTCACGCGGCGGAGTGGCTGGTGGCTTCGGACCACCAGAAGTGCTAACCTTTGGGTCAGCTGTACAATTCCTCACCCACAAGACCGCCAGAGCTTCCCACCCAAAGACTGGGGCCTCCAAGCTGCCCAGTGGGACTTCCAGCAGGCACCCTGAGGTTCCTTCAGTTTTGTTCTCTGCTGGGGTATGGGACCTGGACGGAGACCCCTGCCTGGCCTCTGGGGCCTCCCCTGCTGTCCCTGGGCTCCGAGTCTGAGCAAGGATACCACCCAGAACTTCCAGTTGTGCAGCGTCCGGGTGCGGACGTAGTGATCAAACATGTCTCTCATCTGGTCAAAGCGCTGGTGTGTGATGGGCACTCCGGTGGCAGGCAGCTGCTGCTGGCAGAGGCTGGGGGGCATGGGTGGGTGAGGGGCCAGAGGCGGGCGGCATGGCTCCAGTGTCCAGCGCCTGCCTCCCGGTCCCCCAGCCTACTTAATGTCGGCGTTGAGCTCCTCGATCTGGTCGCGCAGCCGCTGGGCCTCCTCCTGCAGGGCCGCGCGCTCCTGCTGCAGCATGGTGATGTACTCGGCCGTCTTCTGCAGCGTGGTTGCTTTGCTCACCTGCCACGTGAGGCTCAGGTCCCAATGCTACCCCACCCTGAGACTCCTGGGTGGCCCCCCGGCAGGTACCCTAAGGCTCTGGCTCTGGGGGTGTCAGCCTGGGCGGACGGCTCACCTTGAGGCTGGGCTGGGCACTGAGTGTGCTCACCAGCCCGTGCAGGGTGTCGAAGCCCAGTTTGATGTTAAAACGTCGCTTCTGCTCTGCAGAGATGTGCGTGATACGGCGGGTCTCGTTCTTGGGGGAAGACAGTGGGTGAGCCTAGGAAGATCCTGGGAGGCCAGGGGGTAGCAGATGGATCTTGGGGTGGGAGCATGGAGCCCACCTTGCTGTCTGGTCGCCCCCGGCTTAGGATGGCTTGAGTGGGAGAAACGCAGATGCTCAGACTTCCGAGGCCTGGGACGGTACTGAGCTCTCCAGAGAGCCTTCTCTCACCGCCTGTGACAGGAACAGACAGACCTACAGACAGACCAACACAGACGCAGTCCCCCCTCCTCCTTCCGTCCTCGAGGCTTCCCTAACCCCTCCAACTCCTCTTTACCACTGGGTGCTGGGGGTGACAGCCGCTCTGCTTTGGGGACAATCAGGGGCCTGGGAGGGGCCAGTGTGGCTGGCCTTGGAGGTGGCCGAGGTGGTGGAGGCACCGGGGTGGAGGGAAAGAAGGTGCAGGGATATTCAGGGACCGTCTCCTGCTGGAGGAGAAACGGGTAAAGAGTTGTGGGGTGAAGCCCCCCCAGGCTCACCCCCGCTTCCCAGTGCTTGCCATCTTACCGGGGACCCTGGGGACTGGTGGAGGGCGCTGGACACAAGAAGCGGGTCCAGAGCTTGCTCAGGCTTGGCTGTGGACAGGTAGGACCATGAGGGCTTTGGGGCTACCCTAACCCCATTGTCCTCAAGGCCTAGCTCTCTCTTCCAGTAGCCCACACAGCTCTGGGTCTGTGGTCCATGTCCCTGATTCCTGCCCTGCCTGCGACCCCCAAGCCCTCCCCAAGCTGGGCCTCCTCAACCTTCACTCTCCACTCAGAGGTCCTGTCTGCCCTGGGAGGCCCAATGCCTCCAAGCCTACCTGCTGTGAGCAGCTGTGTGAGGCAGGGGTTGGGCCCTCCGGCAGCAGCAGGAGGACTGGCAGTGGCAGTGGCCAATGTGGGGGGCCTGGACTTCTGCCTTCTAGGACACTGGGTGGGGGGCTTGCCTTTGGGTCGCATGCCCCTGGGCACTGCAAACCTAGGCCCCAAAATAGGCTCCGGATACCCTGAAGGCAGAAGTTCACATGGGAAGGAGGACGGGGCACGGCCTGAGCCAGGCTGCGGGCTGGGTGGGAAGGCTGTGGGTGCAGCCAGTGGGGACACTCCTGTGGCTGGAGGGGCAAGAGCGAATGGAAACCTGGGAGAAAAGAGGGGCTCTTCTCGCAGCAAAGCAGGGGCTGGAGGCACGGGAGGGAAGCGGGCTGGCTCCAGGCCTGGCACTTTGGTTTGGGTGGGATAGTGGGGGAAGGCTGAGAATGAGGGAGGGGGCGGAAGCTTGGACTTGAGGTCTTCAGGAAGGATGATATCTGAGTTCAGGTAGGTAGTGGGCTCCAAGGGGCCAGGGCAGCTGTTCCGAGCCTGGTCAGGGGAAAGACACAAGGACAGACACTCAGAAGGGAGGAATGCTGATCTGGGCAGCCACCAGGCATCCTCCTGTGCTGAGCACTGGGGAGAGAGAGGTCAGGAAAATATCCCCTTACACACACACACACACAGACACACACAGAGACACACACACCCCTGGACCAGAACACGAACACACACACACGAACACACACACACACACCTGGACCAGAACACACATCAGGCATGAGACAGACCATCAGTCCCCCAGCTCATCCATTCATCTACCAAATCCCTTCCTTACGCATCCATCTAGTCCTCCACCCACTTCCCATTCTCCATCTATTCACCTAGCCGTTCATTTTCTTACCTCCAAGCTTAGCTAGCTAGGGAGCTCTGGTGGCCTAGTGGTAAGAAGCTGTGCTACAAACTCAAAGGCACAGGGTTCAAATCCACTAGCTGCTCCGAGGGAGATGGATGGGCAATCTCCTCCCGTGTGATTTACTGCCTCTGAAAACCTGCTGGAGGGTCAGCTGTGCATTGGTCCCGACTCAACAGCAAACAGTAAACAGGCTAGCCAGCTAGTCTCCTTCATCTCTCTCCCTTCACCAGCCGAATCAGTTTATCCAACCTCTATCCCTCGTTCAGCTGGTTCACTCAGCTGATGGAGGTGGGAACCCACTCGCTGTCCCAAGGAACAGAGCTGAGACCTCTGCTTCTGAAAAGATTTACAGCCTTGGGAGGAGCCACAGGGGCTGCTCCACTCTGTCCTGAAGGCTTGCTGTGAATCAAGATCGACAAAAAAAGACAGAATCCACCAGATGCTCTGCTGGAGAAGGAGGGACAGTCTCCTCCTGTGCCAGTCAGATCCGATTTGACGGTACGCACACAAAATAATAAAATAAAAACAAAACAAAAACCAACAAGACAGGAGGAATAAGAGTCTCTCCTCCTTCATCCCCCTACCCACCCATGTTTTCGGGTGCTGCTCAATTTCAATTCCTAGTGACCCCTACACAGAACTGCCTCATATTTTTTTATGGGGACATACACACATTTATTGTTCCCTCACAGGGTTTTTGTGGGTTGGAATTCTGGTTTTTTTCTGGATGGGTTGGAATCTTTATGGATGCAGATAAACAGATCTTTCTCCCACAGAGCCGCTGTGTGGGTTTGAACCACCAACCTTTGCGTATGCAGTTAAGTATTGTTTAGATGTCGTGCTTATGATTATCTACCCGCTCAACATTTATACATTCACCATTTACATTTATACACATATATCTATAAATGGCTGAATATATAAGTGTATATAAAATATCTTTTTAAAGAGTTTTATTTTATTTTGTTATTTTTTGTGTGTGTACCGTCAAATCAGATCTGACTGGTACAGGAGGGGATTGTCCCTCCTTCTCCAGCAGAGCATCGGGTGGATTCGAACCACATACATCTGGGATTGCAGTGTAGCTTCTTGCCACTAGGCCACCAGAGTTCCCTAAAATATAATCTTTTATAAAATTTATAGATATAAGTGTATAAAAATCCACCCATTAGCTCACCTATCCAACCAGCCACCAACTGATGCACGTATTTACCAAACCTGGATCCACCCTCTTCCATATTCAGCCTTTGCCAGCGTGCCTATCCGCCTGCTCTTGGTTCTACACTGGTCAGCCATTTGCCAAGTGCCTGCTATGTTCCTGACTGTGCTCGTCACAGGGGATGCAAGCTGCCACAGCCTTTCCAGAAAAGAGCCCATGGCCAGTGGAGGAGAGAGACACCCCAACTGTCAACTACACGCTAGCTGCCTCTGGGTGAGCCCCGACTCTCAGCAGCCAACGCTGCCCAGTCCTGCGCCGTCCTCACTCATCAAGTGCCCATGCCCACTGTGGCTGTCACTGTGTCCGCTCGCCGCGTTCAGGGTCTTCCTCTACTTTGCCAACTCTCGACTTTTTTCAAGCATGATGTCCTTCCCTAGGAACAGACCCTCTCCTGATAACAGGCCCAATGTCCCCCTGGCTTCCACGGAGCAGCCTGGCCCCTGAAGTCGGAGGGAGGGAAGCGACGTCTCGCGTGGCAGCGTGAGGCAGTGTCTAAACTGCACGGGGGGCGGGGGGGGGTTCTTGAGCCAGAATCGTAGACTGCTTCCTAAACGTTCCGGCCAGGTGCCTTCCTGCCTCTGCTTTCTTTCCTTTTTTTTTTTTAAATTAAAAAATATTTTTATTGGTTTCATCTGTGTCTGCTTTCGTTCACACTGCTGCTATCTTGCCCTCTGATCACTTCCTGTCTCCCAAAGCCGACCATTCCCCACAACACAGAGATCTCCCTCCTCCAGGAAGTCTGTGAGCACCTCAGCCCTCAGCAGGGTCAGCTCTGTGCTCCCTCCCTCACCACTGTATTACGTTCTCCGTGAGGCAGGGACGGGGTCGTCTGTCCCCTCCAGTGGCCCCAGCTTGAGCCAGCATGGGGCTGGGCCCTGGGAAAGTGTGGTGACCACTTCCTGGACACAGAGCACACAGGAGCTAGTGTTCAGGTGAAGTGGACAGGGCAAGGCAGGTGGGGTGGGTGAGCTCACCTGTAAGCGGTTGCCTGAGAGGTGGGCCATGCCGGATGGGGTCACAGGAGGCACCTCCGGGCTCGGGACGCCACTGTTGAAGAAGGGGTCAGCCATGAGGCCGAGGCTGGAGGGCTCTGAGAAATTTGAAGGCGTGGGTGTCGGTGGTGGGAGGTAGCTGGTGAAGAAATCTGTAATACAGACCACACAGGGGGGTAGCAGTTAAGACGAAGGCAAAGGGGCCAACGGAGGGGAGGACAGAGGGGTGCCAGGCGCCCTCTCCTCTAGCTGGGCAGGTGGCGTGGGGTGGGGGCCTGCAGACAGGGTGGGGGGACGGCTTCCACAGGCGATTGTGAAACTGGGGGCGTTTCTGTCTCACTTGGGGGAAGCAGACTCAAGGCCTGGGTGGGATGAGTCTGAGTGGGATGGGGAGATGAGGCGCGCGTGAGCACAGACGGCCGGAAGCAGCCCTCCCGCTGGGCTCCCACACTTGGCTCAGGAGGCCCTCTCACCCCCAGACCTGGCAGTGCCCTGGCCTGCTCTTCTTATCAGCTCTGTTGGGGGCACAGAAAGGGGGACAACTGAGAGAATGCCAGGAAGGGACCAGGGTGGGTCCCGGGGCGGAGTGTGGACAGGGAAGGCGCTGGGGTTGACAGGAGTTCAAGGGGTGAGTTAAGAGGTCAGAGGGTCAGGTCAGAGGTCTGGAACAGGCAGCCTTGTGGGAAGACCAATGGGTGAGACTTGGAGTGGGATGCGGGGGTCTGATGGGGTGATGGTCAGGAGTCAGAGGGTGCACTTGTTGGAGGGATAGCATCAAGGGGCTGCTGGAAACCTCGGACACACTGGCAGCGTGGCGGGCTGCCAGATTGATCGGGGTGCGGGTTGTGTAAGACCCGGGCTATTCTGGTTTTGGGAAGCAGCAGCCTGCAGCCTGACCACATCCCGGGCCTGGGTGCCGCCCGCCCACCCGCTCCCTTCCGGGCACCTTTCTCTGACCCTGACCAGGCTAGGCTGACCAGACCCAAGTCCACCTTGACTGGGTCCCAGCTCCACGCTCCTTCCTCGGCCAACTCTGGCCAGGACAGTGGGCCACAATTCCCTTTAGGAGCAAGGGAGAATCAGGAGGGGGTTAGGTGGGACCACCTCAAATCTAAGCCTGGCAGGGGGTCAAACCTTTACATGTGACTCTGGTGGAAGACACGGGGGCTGGCGTGTGGCTGAACGTGCCCGTGTGGTTTGCACACGGTCTGTTTCCCTGTGTATGTCCGTCCTGGGGTCTATTATTATCTGACGTTGCTGTGACACGGCTGGTGAGAGTTAAGTCGGCTCCAGGCCCACTTCTGTTGTGTCTGAGGGAGCGTGTATGTGTGTGTGCTTCCTGGGTTGTGTGGTCACAGGGGACCTTCCCGCCTGTCCTGCTGCCTCCCTTTGACAGAAAGACTGGACCAAAGTCACTCGTCCAGGACTATAGCCTCATCACTGGATTCCAGAGGCTCTAGACCCCCACGCTGTCCTCAGGCCTGGCCTGGCCAGGGCCACAGTGCCACTCCCTGTCCGCTGTCCACCCATGGATGAACGTGCCATTCGTTCTTTTCCTATCGGGTGTCCACGCTTTCCCTCCAACCTTCTGAAGTCACCGAAAGACATCACCTCCTAGCCCCAGACACCCAGGGAGACCCCAGCCACCTGCTGAACCCCGAGTCCCCCCTCAAGTCCATTCCCCCTCACTGACATGCCATCTGCCTGAGTCCTTCCTGCGCACCTCTCGCCAAGCCCTCTGCTCACTGAGTGCTGCCCCCTCCCAGTCCTGGTTCCCTCTCATGGGGAGGGGCCACCAAGCAAGACCAAGGTGGGGTGTTCCCTGTGCCCCACCACACTTAGCTTTTGACACAGCCACCTTGTGTCCCCATGCCACAGTTTGCTCCCACCCCAGCAGCCTCCCTGGCTTCTCAAGCCCAGCCCAATTCTGCCCAGAGCTTGGGATGAGGTCAGCTGGGCTCCTACCTGTGGCCGAGGTCCGTGAGCCCTGACAGGGGGGCTGCCCCACCAGGGTGGCCTGCTCCCGTGACACTGCCATCAACACTTCTGTTCCTGGAGCCCCTACCTCCACCCAGGGCTGGGGGTGGTTCCTCATTCCTAAGTCCCTGCCCCATAGGTCTCCACCTCTTGACTGACAGGCCCAGGACTCTGGGGAGGAGCAAAGAGGTCACAGACTCAAAGCCCTATATCCTAGGGACCTTCCTCTGGGGCCTGATGTCCATTTGGCCTCCAGAAGTCCCAGCTGTGGGGACAGTCTCTAAAGCTGACAGCTAGGTGGGAAAGAGCACGAAGATGGCTCGTGCACAGGTGATGATACAGAAGCAGATAGCCTTTCATGAAAATGAATAATAATAGCAAGAAGGTATACTGCAATCCCAGAGGTCCACAGTTCAAATCCACCAGATGCTCTGCTGGAGAAGGAGGGACAATGTCCTCCTGTACCAGTCAGATCTGATTTGACGGTACACACACACACACACAATAATAAAATAAAAATTAAAAAAATAACAAAATTAATAATAATAAAAAAGGAGAGAAAAAAAAAGAAGCAGACTGCCCATCTTTCTTCCATGGAGCAGTAGGTGGTTTTGAACCATGGACCTTTGCATTAGCAGCATAAGTCCTTCTTATGTAAGCCACTTGTGATACACAGAGAGGAGTACCCCTGGAGACATGCACAAAGCCAGGCAAACTAGTGACCAGGGTCAGGAGAGGGAGACAGGGAAGTTAACACTTAAAAAATATACTGCGAGATGTGATGCCTGGGGTTTGCTTGGAGGTAACAGGGGTGCAGGGAGTGGTGAAGGTTGAGATGAAGCCAGGGTGATGGACAGCTGGCAGATGCTGGAGTGATGAGGGCAGCTCGGGGCTAATCTGGCCTACTTTCCTTCTCTCTCTACTTGTTGGAAAGTTCCCTTAATAAACAGTTTTCAAATGTATTGCATAAATAAGAAATAAATCCAAATAAGTCAAAGTCCCTCTCCTCTGAGGCTCTTTGCCTACAGCTTAGAGCCCCCATGGGGCCTGCCCATGCCTGAGGCCTCGTCCCAAAGGAAGGAGCTGTGAGAAGTTGCCCAGTCCGGCCGCCCAGCACCCCGCAGGGGCCTGCCACACCTGATATCTCCATGAAGTCATCCAGGCTGGGCTGCAGCGGCGTCAGGTCTGGCTGGATCATGTCAGCGTTGCCGACGTAGGCTGTGGGGACAGTTGTGGGGTGGACTCGGGGTGGGGGCACTGCCCTTCCTCACCCCCCAGCCGTGGTCTCTCAGCTCCCTGGATCCTCTCAGGCCTGAGCCTCACCCTCCCACACCATCCCGCTTTCTGGGCACAGGCCCTCACCATCCTCGGGGGCCAGCTGCAGGGGCGCAGGGCCGGGCTGAGTCATGGTGAAGAGTGTGTCGGAGATGTCGGACAAGAAGGAGTCGAGGTCCAGGAGCTGCCGCCCACTGGGCTCCTCCTCGGGGGCCCCCAGCAGCACGGGCATCATGCTGGAGAAGAGCTGTTCGCACCATCGCTCCGGCGGCCGCCACCCCCCCTCCGCCTGGGGAGACAGAGCAGTGAGAAGCACAGCGGGTCATGTGCCCCCACCTCTCTGGCCTGGGAAGCCACAGCCCTCTCTACACACAATTCCTTGTCACTTCTCCCCAGTGACACCTCACTGGCTTCTAACAACTCCCCCCAGCAGATGGGCTGGGCTGGACTCCTACAGAGCTAACCTCCATGCGTCTCCTGTTGGGGTCCCTCCTGATCAGACAACCCACAGGCTTGGGGTTGAGCCCAACCAGAGGGTCAGCAGCCGCTTTCATTCTCCACGCATCGCACCTGCACCCTCCTGCCCACAGCCCTGCCCACCTCTTGGTCAGCTGTCTTCCGCCAGGCAACACCCACCTGCTTGGGGGCCAGGAGATCACCTTCCCTGCTGGACTTACGGAGCTGGAGGGACACATAGAGTTGGACATTGGCTGCCTTGTCTCTTCCTCCAACATCTCAAGGCCTCCCGCCCCCTCTCCTTAGCTCCTTCCACCCAGATCAATGGGCTTCCCCATTCCCGCTCAGATGCACCCGCCCAGGTGAGAAGGCTGCGAGGAGCGCCCGCGGCCACGTGGTGGCGCTGTTGGCTGGCTTTACAAAGAAAGTTGTGCTGTTTCTTCCAGCAGCGCGGCCACAGGTGGGTGGGCTAGGTGAGGCAGGAGTGTGGGCGGCGGGGAGCAAATGTGTGGGGGGCTCACTGACCCGCTTCTTGTAGTAGATGCGCCACTTGTGGTACTCTCGCATCACCACTTCGATGCGCCGCTTCCAATAATTCCCCTCCAGGACCACCGCCTGGGGAGGGGAAGGAAGGGATCTCAATGCCAGGGGGTAGCTCTGTACCCCCAAATCTGGGATAGCCCCTCTGCGGGCCCCAGGGACAGGACCAGGCTTGGTGGGTACAGGTGAGTGGGTACCCCAGCCCCAGCTCATGTCCCTGCTACCTCTGGCTTCCGGTGCTCATCAGCCTCTGGCCCCTGCAGGGGAGTCACGAAGCCACACACGGGGCTCTTCCTCCGCTCCACATCTATGGACAGGAGGTGTCCTGGTCAGAGGGCGGCCACACCGACTGGGACTCGAGTGACGCACAACACAGTTCTGCCCAGTCTTCATTACAATGGTGTCCATGGTATGGTGACACCCAGTGCGGTAACTCAGGGCATCACCTGCCGCCCCTCGTGCCCCCCTCCCACCCCAACCATACAGAACCCTTCCTTAGTCATGTTTAGATCACCTTTAATCAGGACACTATGTCATAAGTGTAGCTATCAATTGCTTACACGTAATGAATATTATCTTCAATTATGTAAACGCTAAAAATCATGGCAAAATCATTCTACACTGGATTATAACATTATCATTTACAACATTAGGGACAGGTAGAGGAAACCACGTGAATCAAAGCATGATTGTAACTGGGTAATAATGACAGCTCTGACCCGAGAGTAAGAGAAGTTAACTTAAAAAGGCAAATTAGCATAGACTTTAGCCTTGTCAGCAGAGTGAGACAAACTTTTGTTAAAACTATTTATGGGAATAGTTCTATAAAAAGAATACATTTTAAAAACTATAATGACTTTTTCCTGACACACCGCACAAAAATTTTATAATCATTTTGGTGTCACCCCTTGGACAGTGTAACTCCCACTAGTCTTTATTGTCCAGTTTAAGTAATACTTCCTCCAGGAAGCCCTCCTTCCTACTCTAAGCCTTGCCTATCACCCTCTTCGGAGCTGACTTCAATGAACCTCCCCTACCTTCTGTGCCTTGGGAGCCTCATAGGTGCATAGACAGTGGTTGTTTAGTGGGATCATGGGACCAGAGTGGCCACAAGAAGGTCTTGGATCAGACCTACAGGTCAGAAGCCCCAGAGTACTTGGTCTTCAGTCTCAGCCTTCTCTACACTTCCCACCCCCCCATCTCAGAGAAGCACCACGGTCCACTTCTGACTACCTGCGCCCCCCCCCTGTTCCAATGCCCTCATTCCCCTTCCTGGTTTCTGATCTTAACTTGAGGTACTTAGAATGAGGTGCTTAATATGGCCCTTCTAGCCAAAGTCTTTGTAACTCCCACCAAACAACTGGGGAGGGCTGTGCAAATGAGGGGCTTGCAGCCTATCAGGGTGACTGAACAGCATTCTAATAATGCCAAATACGCATATGACACCCTTGTGGGGGTTATTACTGTTGTGTGCTGTCAAGTGGGAACCAACCTAGAGCTAAGCCTCCACTGGGTTTTCAGAGGCAGTAAATTTGCACAGGAGAAGATTGCCCATCTTTCTCCCATGCAGCAATGGTGGATATAAACTGCATGCCTTTGGGATTGCAGTGCAATTTCTCACCACTAGGCCACCAGAGCTCTAATAGGAGTGGAACCCTGCAAATAAGGTATATGAAAACTTAATGAAGAGATTGGTCAGTTTTTTTTTGCCATTTCGCTAGGCTCTGAATGAACCATCTCTGAGGTGGAAAGGTGGACCTACTATCATGAAGAATTGAGAATCAGAGACAGGAAAGGAGCATGTCCTTTGGAGCTGGAGTCCCTATGCTGGGAACCTCCAAGACCCAGGAGACAGAGAGCTGTGACTGAGATGATGAGAAAGCAGCAGCAGCAGATAAATGGCAGCAACAGAAGCAGGGGACCAGCTCAGGATGGTGGAGGGGGCTTTCTCGTCCATCAAATGAGAAACTCGAGAACCTTCAGGATATAGTTCAAGAGAACTTCCTTTTCTCATCCATGTTCACAAGCAGGATCTGCTAGGTCTTGCCCTGCTCTGACAAGTTACAAAGCTCTTTAGCTCTCCTGATAGGTACCCAGTGGAGATAGAGAACTTTGTAACTCGTCCAGTAGGACAAAGGCAGGTTCTGGTGGCGAGCATGGATGAGAAGAGGCTGTCCTGAACTGTATCATGAGTCGTTCTTGAACCTGAATTATGACCGGCTATTTCCCTAATCAACCCCAAAACCATAAGTACTGTCTGTGAGTTCTGTGTAGCAATTGCAAAGAACAGAGCCCAGCAGATTAGCGCCATGGGAGGGATGTTAGTGTCAGAATTAGCAGAAAGATGGGAGCGCAGAGGCATGTCTGACATTCCACCCTCACAGGAACCAGATTTGGATGGATGCTGATCCTCTCCCCCCCCCGCCCCCGGTGCAGTTAGAGGTGATCAGATGTCCTCACTGTGCCACCTTCACAAGACCCTTTACCCACAGACACATTCCAGGTTCTCGCCTTTATCTTCTTTGTTTGTCTAGTGTGTTCTCGTGAATCTTTTCCCTGTCTCTGTCTCTTCTTAACCAGTCCCTTCCTTTTGCTACTCCAACCTTCCATTCTTTTGCACTCCTTCTCCCCCCATCAAACTCCAGAAGAGTTGTCAACACGTGGCAGCTAACACTTCTCCCTTTCCCAGGCTCGTGGGTATCCCTGTGCCACAACCCCTTCCTGAACTCAGGGTCCTCGTTCTGTGGCTCTTCCTCAGCTACCTTCTCTACCTCAGCGAACTCCTCCCAAGATCCACCTCCTTCCAGAACCTTCTTTGTTCTCCTGCCTTCTTGGTCGTGTCTTACTGATCCTTCTCTGGGATCCACCCTCAAACCTCTCTCACTTTGCTACACGTTCGGGTTCCAGTCCCCACTAGGATGTCCCAAAGCTTATTACACTTGGGAAGGTTAGGAACACACCTCCTACTGTGCCTCCCCCGATTGCTCTGATGCTGAATTGTGTCCCAGCCAACAAACACCGCACTCATTTCCAGCATTCCCAGTCTCACTAGCCGCATAAGGCCTTCTCCTCCACCTTCTCCCGGCCACCCCTGACCTGGTGTCATTTTTCACCTGGGCCTCTCTTAACTCCAGCCCACCTTTCTCAGCGGCCAGGCCAGTTCTTTCTCAAACCCAGGGCACACTAAAATGCTGACTCCCAGCTCCCCACACCCTCCAGAGAAAGTCTAGATGTCTTAGCTTAGCTTTCAAGCCCCTCTCGCTGTCCCCCTCTGCTTCTTCTACTTTTCTACCCCCTTCAAGTGTCCCACTTGGGAGCCAGTCCACATATCAGCCCCTGCAGCCCATCCTCTACCTCCTTCCAGATGGAAAGCCCTCTTGTTCTCCTTTATTTCTACATATACTACACCTTCAAGATAGCACCTCCTCCAGGAAGCCCACCTGCCTGACCCCTGGGCCCTGTTCACCCCTCTTGCACCATCTAGTTCTTTGCAAGAGTGTATCTCTCCACTGAGAGGGAAGCAGGAGCAGTGACCTTCCACCCCAAACCCTGGGTCGCAGAAGTCCGAGTGTCACACAAAGTGACTTTCCCTGGCAGCCCTGATCAAAATGAAGATCCCAGTTCCTTCACGATGTCCATGGGGACGGTCCTGCCTTGACAGACTTCTTCTGGGGCAAATGAGAATCCTGGGCATGTGAAACTTCCTAAGACTGTAAGTCTCATTTACAAAAGTTCTGTCCCAAGGACTAGTTTCTAAACCAAATATTCATGAGATTTGAGGGAAAGGCTTTGTCCTGGTCATTCAGATGAAAACTCAAAGAGGTGGCCCTTGGGTGTCTGGACCCTGGGGGAGTTAGACCAAGGAAGGTCTCCAAAAGTAACTGCTGGGAATTAAATGCAAGAAAAAGAGTGGTTGCCCCCAGAGGATCAGGGTTGAGTGGGCCCTCTTCTACCTCGAGACCCTATTCTCTATTCAGAAAGGAGCAACGATGTGGCTTCCTGGGGCCAAGAGAGGCCTTTTTACAGCTCTGATAAGGGCATGCACTCACTCAGCCTCCTAACCCGTTGCATCTCTGCAGGAATGGATGGGCCTGTGCGATGAATCCGGACCTTCCAATTTAGCCCCGTGATAAGGAAAGCACTCAGTGTGAGATGAAGCAACTGGAGAGGTCCTAGCCCAGGAGAGAGGCAATGTGCTGAGGGCACTCCAAGGAGGCTGAGGGTGTGGAGAGATAGCAAAGGAAGAGACCCTGGAGTCTAGGATCCTTTAAAGAGGTAACTACGTCCTTTCAGGTTATACTCAAGTAAGGGGCACAAGTCAGTGGACCCTTCGGGTTAATCGTGGCACTGGCAGAGCCTGGTCCAGCCCACCCCTCATAGAAGGGCCAGCCCATGCCACAAAAATCATAATAAGCCCATCGGTAGTCCCTCTCTATGTTAGGCCTGTTCAGAGACGTGTATAATCTTATAGAAAATCCTCAGTGACCTGACATTAGTCTTCCCATTTTGCAGAGGAGCAAGTTGTAGCATAAGGAAGTAGAGGATGTTCCCAAAGTCACATGGCACATGGCTAGGGAGAGAGTGCTGGTGCTGGGCTCAAACCCAGAACCTGGGGTCCTGCCAGCAACTTTTGCAATCATTAGAAACCAGGGTCTGGGTGAGGATCCTGAGAGGGTCACACCTCAGCTGTCACTAAAAATTCCTCCTGCAGCATGAAGGTTATGCATCCTGTCCACCTTTAGAGGAGACAGGAATCAGCTGGAGACCCAGGAGGGCACTGGCTCCTTGGTCTGGCCAGGACCCATCCTGCAAGTTCTTAGAAACAGCAGGGACTCAGATAATCTGAGGGTGAAGCCTCACTTACAGTCCCAGAGGCTCGGAGAGCTGTGTTCTCACCAAGGACTGGAAAGCAGTCAGCTGGCGGCAGTCAAGTCGTGCCCGCTCAGAGCTGAGAGCCCTGGCCTTCCAGGCCGCCCAGCTCTACTCCGTATCTGCTCTTTGAACAAGTCCCTTGTTTCTTGGGCCTCAGTTGCTCATCCATAAAATGGGGTTATTGACATCCAGGGTGTGTAGGAGGCCTTAAATGAGATGATTTAGGAAAGTTCTGGACAGAGAAATGAATAGAAACCAAAAGAACACACCCCCCTCTCTGCTCGGATAGAGTCCAACATGCTAGTACAGAGACTACTGCTTGTGAGCTGTGTGCTAGACTCCCACATAGGGACAAGGTTCCAACAGAAGGCCCCTGCTGGCCTGCCACGAGGGGGTGCTTGCCTACCCAAATGACTGCGACCTTCTCAAGGACGGATCAGATTCAAGCATCATTTATTGAGTGCCAGCTGTGTATGAGGCCCTTTTGTACCCATAATCCCATGCCAGCTTTGAAGAGTAGGCCCACCGGCCTCTGCATATAGATGAGGAAACAGGTTCAGAGAGGTTAGGCAATTTGTTTTTAGCTGCACAGCCAGCAAGGGACAGAGGAAGCTCTGGGTGATACAGGTTCAGATCATGTGGCCTTTCACCTGCACTCTATATGGCCCTTAGGGTCCCCTCCTCCCCGTTCTCCAGGGCTGTATGTCTGTCTGTTGGGTGATCGACAAGGGTTTGATGGGGGACTGAGAAGCCTGCATGGGATTCTCACTGTCCCGGTTGTAAAGTGATACTGCTGGTTGGCCTAGCGTGTGCCTAACATCGCCCTCTACCCTGGTGTTTGAGGCCCCTGACGAGGCTGTGAGCTGACCCCACAGGTTGGTTCACCTTCGGGGCTTCTGAAGGGTGACCCATGCTTGGGCTCGCTTCACAGTGGAGTGCACCCTTTAGGAACATTCCCTAAACCCCTCTGTAAATCAAAGACCATTCAGGGGTCTTGGCATTGAGGACCTGGTCTCCCCAAGACGTGCACTGCCAGGGTCCCAAGGTCTTCCTGGGCAGCCCCTATGTAGTGCCCTCTGGCTGGGGAGAGGACTGCCTGGCTGGGGAGGCCCATCATGCCCACTCACACTGGGTATACCAGGCCCTCCAGATGGCATTGTTGAGGCGAATCTTGTCTCTGCAGAGCAGCTTGAGGCCTTTGAAATTCTTCCACTTGGGAGAGACCAGCTTGCCACTGTTGGGGGGGGAAAGGGCTGGGTCAGGGTGGTAGCAGAGAAAGTATATGTTGGGGGTCTTTACAGGGGCTGGTCCTCCATTCTTTCCGTCACAGGGGGGTCTTATAAGAAACCTCTCTACCCCAAGTCTTGTCCTTCAATGTAACCTGTCTGAAATTCCTACCCTGACAGCTAGATTTTTAAAATGTTCTCCCTGGTCCCCAGGGGCGGCCCTTGGGCTCTCTGAAGTGACCTGCTTATTAATCTACTACTAGAACTCCAGTCAGGGTTGAACTTGTTCGTCAGCTCGGCCTTTGGGACCACAATGCCCAATAGTCAACCGAGGCTGATCTCCTGGGCTGGCTGGGGAGGGTTCTCAGGTCCATTTCTTACTTAAGGAGACTGAGGTCAGGACGGGAGAAGAACGTGGTCAGGATCACAAGGTGGGAACTCATTCAGGCTATGTCAGCTACATCAGTCTCTATGCCTCTAGGCCCAGAGTGAGTGGGGCCGGGGGTGGGGGTAGGTGACGTTAGCTGAAGTGGAGAGGGGCTTTCATTACTACTTGGGGCTTTTGAGCAGCACAGCTTCCTCCCTGCCCTTCTGCTGTCCTCCCTGTCCAGAGTTCTGGAGGACAATCTATCAGCTGAGCTGGAAGGTGGGCTCCTTTCCTGGAATGTACATGAGACAAGGAGACAGGTGGGTCTAAGGTCTAACCATCCGTCAAAGGGACAGTGGTGCTCTATGCGGGGACAGGCCTTCTGTTCAGGGTCCCTTGGACACAGGCCAAGTTGGTGCCACTGGGAAGCTGACCCAGGAAACAAAAGGCTCAGGCACTCACACGCTTGCTGGTCTCTCCCTCCCCACATCTACAAGCCACAAGTTCAAGTCCCTGCTGACCCACCTTCTCTAGCCCTTGCTCAGATAGGAAGACTGAGGCCCCAAGGCTTGTTATTGGCAAGCCCCCAAGGCTTGTTATTGGCAAGCCAGGTCTGCTCTCTAATGGGAGGTAGGAGATCCTGGGGTGGGCAGAGGGGGCAGCCTGACTCCTGTGTGGGCCCCCTCTCCTCTTTGGTCTCCCAGCTCCCATGTTTACTTTAGGAAGGGAGAGGAGGGGGACAGCTGCCCAGGGGACAACAGGCCTCATTACCCAAATAGAACATAGCGCCCAGTGCCCTGGCCCACTGGCTGGTCCCCTCCCTCCTGGAGCTGGATAAACACCATCTGCCCAGAAAGGACACACGGAGGGAGGTGCACAATGACATTTCCTGGGCCAACTTCTTTGGTGGCACCTAGGGGAGACTCCTGGGTTTGTTTCCCCAGCCTGTGTCCCAGCAACCTCTCAGTTCACTTGGTTCATCCAGGGCCCCACCCCAAACAGCTTGCCATCTCTGCTCCACTGCCCTGGCCCTGGCTGAGCCTGGAGAGACACGGGTAATACCAGAGCCCAGCAGAAAAGCCTAGGGTCAGGTTCAAGAGCTTCTGGTGACCGATGGGGATGGGTGCCTTTTTCAGTTGTCACCCAGCACTCCCCACCCAGGACAGGAATTACCCGTGTAGTACCCTTGACAGGGGCCTGTCAATGCTCCTAGTCCTAGAGGCCTGTCAGCCTTGACCAAGAAAATCTGCTGGCTTGGCTCCTCTCTGGGGCTTCCTCCCACACGGGGGACAGGCCTCCCTGGGAGAGTCCATCTGGGCCCAGGGCGCCCTGGCGGCAGAGGCCAAGGTGCCCAGGCTTTCTGGCCAGCACTGCCAGTACCTCCTTTCACATTTGGACATTGCCCGATAAGTTTCTCTTGGGACACTCTGGCTCCCAGATCCTTTCTCTTCCAGAAACCCTTATCCTTGAGGGACCTTTGAGATCTAACTCTCTGTCCCTGATGGGGACTCAGAATTTTCCTTTAGCACGTGGGGAAACCGAAGGCTCCTTGGGTACTAAGCCCCCTCCATCCCTGTCATTTAGCCCCTCCATCCAGGGTCCAGCAGAAAGCATTCCTGTTCTGGGTGTTTGGGAAGAAAACAGCCCTCTCCATTCAGCGGCCCACCCTCCAATCAGCTCCTCAGAGACGTAGTTCCAGGGCTGGGGTGCTCTGTTTCCTACCTTGTCACTTCTCCTAAACCTCCCCTTTGGTCATTCCCAGTCTAGTGAGACTAGAGTTATAGTAGTAGCCGTTACATTGGCAGCTAAATGGGGGGTAGGGTGGGAAATAGGGAACCCCAGGGAGAGCCAGGAAGGAGGGGTAGCCACATCCGGTGTACCGGTGTACCAGGACCTGAGATGCCCTGTCTGGGGCCGTCCCGTGATCTTTGGGGGAAGGGGTAAGAGAGGACGGGAATTTGAACTTTCCACATAGGACCAGCGCCCGGGAAGATCGGGTTGCAGCAGGACCTGGGCCCAGGGCCAGAGCTTGTGGGCCAAGGTTACAACGCCTGCAGCCAATGGGGTCGCTGCCACGCGGGACAGGGGCGGGTAGCATTCCCCTGCAGGCCCCCGCAGCTCCAGCTCCCACTCCCCGCGGCAGGTGCTGGTCGGTTTCGCAGACAGGGATTCTCAGAAGGGGAGGCGGCACCACAGAGCAAGAAAAAAGATATTTGCATAGTGAAAAGATCAAGGCCGTCCAAGCTCCCTTTCTCTCCTAAAGTTCTCAGTAGATAATTTATCCTGGTCCCTTTGCTCCGGGGAACTTTGCTCCAGGGCACTGGGCCAGGATCTGGGTTCGCGCCCTACCCGGGGGACGTGGGCGTAAAGAGGGGGTCTGGCGCTGCCTGTGCGCTCGGTAACGCGCAGAGCAGGGGTCCTGGGAAGTGGCAGGCGCTCGGCCTCCATCCTGGACTTGATGAGCCGGGACCTTCCCTCCCTGCACAGCCCGCATGGCCTGCGGCACCCTCTGCAGGCCCGAAGCGGGGCACCTCGCCGCGCTGCGCCCTTCGCTGCGGGTTCGAACACCCTCCTCCCACAACCTCTGACCTCGCAGATCAAGAGGTGCGCTGGCAAAAGAGGGTGGACTTGGGACTGGGTCAACCACCGGCAGCCGAGAGGGATGCCAAGTGCGGGAACTGCGTGAGGGATCCTGGGGCTGCAGGGGGTCAAGTGGAGCGGTCCCCAGATTGGAGGGTGCTGGGAGCGCGAGGGGCATTTCCTGGTGGACAGAGAGCCCATACTGGGGTGGGCTAGGAGTGATGGTGATGAGCATTGGCAATCAGGGGGTGCGAAGGCTAGAGGAGGATTGTTCAGACTGTGGCTCGAGTTCCCCAAATCAGACACAGACCAGAGCTACGGACTGCGCGGGGTGTCTGGGACCCCTGCACGCGGAGCACCCCACGGACGGCCGAGGTGGCCAGCTCCGAGCCACCCTCACCTGTAGGCCAGGCTCATGCACTCGAAGAGGCGGGTGAGTGTGGGGTCGATGCTGCGCGGCCCGAAGTCAGTGAGTCCCAAGGGTCCCTCCTGGTCGCGCCGCCGGGTCAGTGAGTCGCTGTGGGGCGACGACACCATGAAGTGACCGCTGTGGATGACCTGCGAACGGAGCAGCCCTCCCGCGCTGCGTCGGAGGCTCGGCTCCTCCGAGTCCGTGTCGGAGTCCGTGTCCGGGTTCGGGATGACCCGTGGGCCGGGGAGTTCGGCGGCCAGTCCGGCCAGCGCCCCGGACGAAGCCATCCCTGCGGCCGCTTCGCCGGCCCCCCAGCTGCCTAAGCCGCTCTCACGGCCTGCCCGGCCTCATTAGCATAGTACCGCCCCCTCGGTCCTGATAGGCCAGCCTGGTGGGCGGGGCACCACGATCGCGGGGCGGGGCTAGTGTCAGGGCCAGCCAGGCATCTGGAGAGCGTGAGCAGATCAACTGGGAGCTCTGAGGGGTTTGAGAGGGAATTGGAAGGGAGTTTGGGAGCTTGGAGTCCCCTGATGAGAGGGATCGATACAGAAACTGCAACAATGGGTTAGCGCGCGGCGGAGGTCGTGAGGTTGGGACAGGATCTGGAGAGGTTCAGATCTGCTGTGCGTAAGGTTGAGTGAATTCCATGGTACACCAACAACTACAAGTTCTGCTGTGACCACAGTCCCTATGGAACCCTCCCTGCCTTGCTCCCAAGAGCGGTCTCTGAAGGGTCGACTGCCAGTCGTTCACACCTGTGAGCGCATCACCAGCTCCCTGATCTACTATCCCACTGCCTTCCCTGGCCACTCATTCGCTCAGTTCTAGGGTCTTTCCCCCTCCTCTCACTAACTTTCCATTGTTACTGCGCCAGCCTTCCACTCGCCTCTGTGGCGAGTCACATCTGTGCCAAGTCACGAGACCTCCTGCGTCCACTCTAACCTGCCTCCCGTATAATGGACCAGACTGACTTACAATAAAATACTATTGTATTTTATTAGTTTGCTTATTTTAACTTTTCATTGTGACCTGAGTGGAAGTTTACAGAGTAAAACTACTTTCCTATTTAACAATTTCCGTGCATTTTTTATTTGTGGCATTGATTTTAAGCCCCACAGTGTAACTGCTCCCCCAGTCTGTCCACACTCTTCTCACTTAGGTGCTTCACATAAGGGGCTCGATCTGTGGCACATTCCCAGAACTCTGAGTTCCATCATGATCCCACTACACACACACACGGAAAAGGCAGAGCCAGGCCATGTGAGTCCCAAGAGGTTACATGGGGTCCTTACCAGAGGGGCCAGGTGACCAGCTGGCCTTAGCCACCTTTCCCTGTTAGGCCCCTGGCTGCTGTCTGCTCAGGAGCCTTGGGTCCCCCCTCCTCTCACTATCCTGACACGTCCACTTCTTCCCACACTGGAGTGTTCTATTCTTAAGCTAGAAGCAGGCTGCTAGGTCAATGAAGTCACACCTGGCATCTCATTGGAGCTTTTACCAATACTCTGAGGCAGGTGAGGTTATCACTTCAAGGGTACGCTTGGGGCCCATGGGAACAGTGACACACCCCAGTGTCTCCTAGGAGATAGTGATAAAAGCAGGACCCGAAGGACACTTCCAGGTTTAGAAGAGCTGTCCCTTGGGGGGGGGGGGGCAGGAGAGGCCTGATGACAAGGACTCATCTCCCTTGGCTCTGCCAGAGATGTGGCCTCTGTGTGGCGGCCACATGCGGTGACCACATGAGTGAAAGGGGAAGAGTTGGTTGACCCGGGCTTGGAAGAGGTCCACAGTGCTCCTTCCAGTTCCTGACAGGGTCACAAAAGCCATGATGCAGAAATCGCAATGGCAGCGCTCCAAGGGTCTCCAGGAACTGGTGAGGCCATACACAGGCCAGCCTTCCACTCACCTCCCCACCCAGGTGCCCACTACCCCTGCCAGTTAGCTCTCCTTCCCAGAAGCCCCAGCGGCTCTCCTCAGTTGCTCACTCGTCAGGGAAGCCTTCACCCTGCCCATCTGTGCCAAGTCCCGAGAACTCCAGCATCCACCTGAACGTGCCTCCTCTAGAATGGTCCACCCCAAACGGCTCGCTGGGGATCCTTGGTACAGGAAGTGACAAGGTCCTTATGCACCTGGCTAGCTAATTCCCTGGTCTGTGGGTCTCAAAAGATTCTGCACCCCACACTGGTCACCCAGGGACTGGCAATTGTCTGGTAAAAAGGGTACTGGGCACTAAGAGGAGGTGGCACAGAGAGTTAACTAAGACTCTCCTCGTTCTCTCTCTCCAGTACCTCTTCAGGGGTCTTAATCAGAGTCCTGACCTGATCCTTACTCCATCACTAATTTCATGAAGGACCCTCACTAAGTCTGTCTACACTGGGAGCTGTTTCTCTCCCTGTAAGACAAGTTGGTGTAATCCATAATTTCTCGGGGTGCCACACCTCTAACCACTCCTGGTTCCAAGCCTTTGCTCTCTCTGTCCTCAGCTCACCCCACCACACTCTGCTCTGTCCTCCTGTCCTCAGGGGAAAGCCTCTGAGCTGTCTGTGGTTCAAGAGCTTTTCCCCTGAGCTGGGCTTGGATCGAGTGGGAGGATTATGGGAAAATTCGTTTCCACCCTGCCCTTTACTTTCCCAGGGGGCAGTTGCCCCTCAAGAGTTGCTTGAACCCCGTTTCTGCCATCCTCAGGGCCTGTCAAAGCCTCTGGAATCCTCTCTTGTGTGATTCAAAAAGAAACAACACTAAACTGTAACAATCAAAAACTGTAAGAAAATTCACAAATTCTTTTCCCCATAATACTATCGTCGAGTCTTCCTTCTTTAAAATTTTAATTAGGGGGGGAAATAACAAAGTTTTGAGGCCCCAATTATGTGAGAGCCTTAAGTCCAATGTCCATTTTGCCTTGTCCAACCTCCTCCAACCACAATCTCATGCCCTCAAAGGGGCACTTCCCCTGTACCCAGCACTGTGCCACGTACGCCTTTTCTTTCATTCATTCATTCATTCATTCATTCACTCACAGATTAATTCTCCCCTAACCATACATTAAAATGTACATGTATTTTAATTATACAATACATATTTTACATTGTCGTAAATATATACATATGTATAACTAACTGACATTAGCGAAGTTTATCATATTTATCAACCATTCTTATGATCCATTTCCCAATCTCCCATCAACCTTAACAGAAGTTCAGTGCTCCCCTTTTCTTTCTTTTTTTGGGGGGCTCATCCCTTTTCTTTTCTTACCATCTGCTACTGGTAACCACTAGTAAAGTTTGGTCTCTCCACATTTCCTGTCCTCACTAGCTCACAGAAGTGCAATCATACACTATCTGTCTCTTTAGGGCACACATTCTTTTTTAAACTGATGAAAAGAACAGAACTGACGACTTAAACTACTTAAACCAAGAATGAGAACAGTCTCAGTAAGTTAGGCTGGTAAATGTTTAACAGCAAGCTCCCTGGGGAAAGAAAGAAACAAAGAGAAAAAAAATCCACAACAAATAACAAACCAACAAAAAGACAAACCAGTGCTGTTTTTTCACACTTTACAATTTTTAAGACTGACTCCACTCTACCAACAGGGTACCAGCTCCGTCTCAAAATCCCTCAGCCTTTAGTAACTAACTGGCTTTTGCAAGTCCACTGCCCATCTGTCAGTCTGTCGTAGTGGAGAGCTTATGTGATGCTGGAGGACATGCCATTGTTATTTTAATACCAGCAGGATCACCCATGACAGGTGGGCTTCTTCAGAGCTTCCAGACTAAAACAGACTGGGAAGAAGGATCTGGTGCATTACTTTGGAAAAAATCGGCTGGTGAAAACCTTATGGATTGCACACCCACGTTAACTGCTGTGTTGTTCACAGTAGCAAAGAGATGGAAACAACCCAGTACCCATCAATAAACGAATGGATGGAGAAGCTGTGGTATAGTCACACAGTGAAATGATATGCAGCATTGAAAAACAGGGAACTCATGAGATATTATATGAAATGGGTGATCCAAGAGGTCATTATGCTGAGTGAAATATCTCAGCCACAAAAGGACAAATACTGCATAACTTCACTTTTATAAAACAGGACTGACATCGGGGTTGGGGGAAAACAGAAAAAAGGGGATAAATAATGTACACTGTATTGAACAGATGAGGGAGAAAAGTGCTTAAATGGAATATATGATTAGGTATTATTTATGTGACAACAGCTCAGAATAAGAGCTGCATACTAAAGTGGGTTTGGGGGCAGGGGGACTTGTATAACAATGAAAATTTTTTGGTTTTCTTTTTCAAAGAGAAAAGTGAACTTGGGAGAGGACTGGACAGGGAGGAAAATGTACAACAATGAATGAATAGAAATCCATGTTCTCTATAAACTTTCATTAAAATCTCAATTAAGGGGGAGCTCTGGTGGCCTAGTGGCAAGAAGCTGCACTGCAATCCCAGAGGAACACGGTTCGAATCCACCAGATGCTCTGCCAGAGAAGGAGGCGCAATATCCTCCTGTACCAGTCAGATCTGATTTGACGGTACACGCACACAAAATAATAAAAAATTAAAAAAAAATTTAAAAAAATCTCAATTAAACAAAGAAAACCTTATGGATAGCAGCAGAACATCGTCTGATACGGTGTCGGAAGATGAGCCCTTCAGGTTGGAAGGCACTCCAAACATGACTCCCCAGAAGAGAGCTGCCTCTGGTGGCCTAGCGGTAAGAAGCTGTGATGCAATACCAAAGGCAAACGGTTCAAATCCACCAGCTGCTCCGTGGAACAAGGATGAGCAATCTCCTCCTGTGCGATTAACTGGTCAGTCACGAGTGGGTTCGACTCTATGATGGCACACAACAACAACAACAACGTCAAAGAAGAGGTTACCTCACGACCTGGCCGGAGTGGAGTTCTCAGGACATTCATTTACTGATGTGGCAAGACACAAATGAGAAGAAACAAACACCAGGCCAGTGGTTGGTTAGGCGTTGGAACGGACTTGACGGTACCTTACAACAGTCCGTGTAAGTTTGTGTCGAGCACGTCTGAATTATCATCACTAATCCAGACAAAGGAACTACGGACATGCACTCCCAGAGATTAAGCTCTACTCCCTGGAGAAGGCCATCGTGTGCGGAAAATCAGAGGGTCAGCAAAGAACAGGAAGACCCTCCACGAGATGGAGTGACACTGACTTCAGCTACAGGCTAAAGCACGCTAGAGACTGTGTGAATGATACAGGATCAGGCAAGAGTTCGACACAGGGGTCTAGGAGCTGGGCCTGACTCGACCTGGGT